ACGAAAAAGTAAGATAATCTACTTTTCGAGGAAAATGAAAACCAACTTTCCCCGGAAAGTAGATATTTCCCATTTTCTGTGATACAAATTTCCGGTTCGGTGATAATCTACTTCTTTAAAGTAGGTAATATTTTACCAAAACGTCGATAATCTACTTCCCCGAAGTCGATAATCTACTTTCGAAAAATGAATATTACATTTCGGAAAGTAGATAACTCTTTCCTAAGTAGATATTTCCCATTTTCTGTGATACAAATTTCCCGTTTTCTATGATAATCTACCTCTTAAAATTAGGTAATATTTTACCAAAAAGTCGATAATCTACTTCCCCGAAAAGTCGATAATCTACTTTTTCGAAAAGTAGATAATCTACTTTTCGGGAAAGTAGATAACCAATTTTCCCGGAGAGTAGATATTTCCCATTTTCTGTGATACAAATTTCCCGTTTTCTATGATAATCTACTTCAGCAAATTAGGTAATATTTCCCAAAAAGTCGATAATCTACTTCCTCAAAAAATCGATAATCTACTTTCCCGAAAAGTAGATAATCTCTCCTAGAAGTAGATAACCAACTTTCCCGGAAAGTAGATATTTCCCATTTTCTGTGATACAAATTTCCCGTTTTCTATGATAATCTACTTCTTAAAGTAGGTAATATTTTACCAAAAAGTCGATAATCTACTTCCCCGAAATGTCGATAATCTACTTTCCCGAAAAGTAGATAATCTACTTTTCGGGAAAGTAGATAACCAACTTTCCCGGAAAGTAGATATTTCCCATTTTCTGTGATACAAATTTCCCGTTTTCTATGATAATCTACTTCTTAAAAGTAGGTAATATTTTACCAAAAAGTCGATAATCTACTTCCCCGAAATGTCGATAATCTACTTTCCCGAAAAGTAGATAATCTACTTTTCGGGAAAGTAGATAACCAACTTTCCCGGAAGTAGATATTTCCCATTTTCTGTGATACAAATTTCCCGTTTTCTATGATAATCTACTTCTTAAAAGTAGGTAATATTTTACCAAAAAGTCGATAATCTACTTCCCCGAAATGTCGATAATCTACTTTCCCGAAAAGTAGATAATCTACTTTTCAGGAAAGTAGATAACCAACTTTCCCGGAAAGTAGATATTTCCCATTTTCTGTGATACAAATTTCCCGTTTTCTATGATAATCTACTTCTTAAAAGTAGGTAATATTTTACCAAAAAGTCGATAATCTACTTCCCCGAAATGTCGATAATCTACTTTCCCGAAAAGTAGATAATCTACTTTTCAGGAAAGTAGATAACCAACTTTCCCGGAAAGTAGATATTTCCCATTTTCTGTGATACAAATTTCCCGTTTTCTATGATAATCTACTTCTTAAAAGTAGGTAATATTTTACCAAAAAGTCGATAATCTACTTTTCCGAAAAGTCGATAATCTACTTTTCCGAAAAGTAGATAATCTACTTTTCGGGAAAGTAGATAACCAACTTTCCCGGAAATTAGATATTTCCCATTTTTTGTGATACAAATTTCCCGTTTTCTATGATAATCTACTTCAGAAAATTAGGTAATATTTTCCCAAAAGTCGATAATCTACTTCCCCAAAAAGTCGATAATCTACTTTTCGAAAGTAGATAACCAACTTTCCCGGAAAGTAGATATTTCCCATTTTCTGTGATACAAATTTCCTATTTTGCGATAATCTACTCAGAAAATTAGGTATATTTTCCAAAAGTCGATAATGTACTTCAAAAAGCCGATAATCTATTCCGAAAGTAGATAATCTACTTTTCAGGAAAGTAGATAACCAACTTTTCCCGGAAAGTAGATATTTCCCATTTTCTGTGATACAAATTTCCCACTTTCTATGATAATCTACTTCAAAAATTAGGTATTATTTCTCCAAAAGTCGATAATGTACTTCCCGAAAAGCCGATAATCTACTTTTCCGAAAAGTAGATAATCTACTTTTCAAGTAGATAACCAACTTTCCCAAGTGAAGTGCTCTTTCTGTGATAAAATTTCCCTTCTATGATAATCTACTTCAGAAAATTAGGTATTATTTCTCCAAATCGATAATGTACTGAAGCCGATAATCTACTTTCCTGAAAGTAATCTACTTTTCAGGAAAGTAGATAACCAACTTTCCGGAAGAGATTTCCATTTGTGATACAATTTCATCATGATAATTTACTTCAGAAAATTAGGTATTATTTCTCCAAAGTCGGTAATGTACTTCCTTGAAAAGCCGATAATCTACTTTCCGAAAGTAGATAATCTACTAGAAAGTAGATAACCAACTTCCCGGAAAGTAGATATTTCCCATTTTCTGTGATACAAATTTCCAATTCTATGATAATCTACTTCAGAAAATAGGTATTATTTCTCCAAGTCGATAATGTACTCCTGAAGCCGATAATCTACTTTAGTAGATAATCTACTTTCAGAAAGATAACCAACCTTGAAAGTAGATATTTCCCATTTATACAATTTCACTTTATGATAATCTACTTCAGAAAATTAGGTATTATTTCTCCAAAAGTCGATAATGTACTTCCCTGAAAAGCCGATAATCTACTTTCCCGAAAAGTAGATAATCTACTTTCAGGAAAGTAGATAACCAACTTTCCCGGAAAGTAGATATTTCCCATTTTCTGTGATACAAATTTCCCACTTTCTATGATAATCTACTTCAGAAAATTAGGTATTATTTCTCCAAAAGTCGATAATGTACTTCCCTGAAAAGCCGATAATCTACTTTCCCGAAAAGTAGATAATCTACTTTTCAGGAAAGTAGATAACCAACTTTCCCGGAAAGTAGATATTTCCCATTTTCTGTGATACAAATTTCCCACTTTCTATGATAATCTACTTCAGAAAATTAGGTATTATTTCTCCAAAAGTCGATAATGTACTTCCCTGAAAAGCCGATAATCTACTTTCCCGAAAAGTAGATAATCTACTTTTCAGGAAAGTAGATAACCAACTTTCCCGGAAAGTAGATATTTCCCATTTTCTGTGATACAAATTTCCCACTTTCTATGATAATCTACTTCAGAAAATTAGGTATTATTTCTCCAAAAGTCGATAATGTACTTCCCTGAAAAGCCGATAATCTACTTTCCCGAAAAGTAGATAATCTACTTTTCAGTTAAGTAGATATTTCCCATTTTCTGTGATACAAATTTCCCACTTGCTATGATAATCTACTTCAGAAAATTAGGTATTATTTCTCCAAAAGTCGATAATGTACTTCCCTGAAAAGCCGATAATCTACTTTCCCAAAAGGTAGATTATCTACTTTTCAGGAAAGTAGATAACCAACTTTCCCATAAAGTAGATATTTCCCATTTTCTCTGAAGGATGCACCAAAGAAAATGGGAAATTTCATAGAACATGGTTAGTTTATCAAAGAGGGTAATAAACAAAATATGAATTTTTAAGAAATTTTATACATTCCCTGATGTACTGTACAGTAAGTTATCACACTAATTTGGGTCTCAACAACTTAGGATTATTTACCATAGTTCATACTATGGTTACACATCTTTACTTATGTTTAAAGAGTTTTCTTTGCTGAAGGCATCTACTCAATCTACATTCGTAAATGACTATAGATAACTGAAGGAAAAATAATACATCATCATTGTTCATAATAAATCATTAAAATACAAGTACATACAAATCTTTGATCCATTTCATCCATTGTTTATACTGGACTTCAGTGTCCATTCCAGTTGATGAGGGAGGAGGGCAATGATAAGGGGGAGAGAATTGGGAGTCCCTGAACCTGGCTGAAGCCAGGTCCAAGGACCAGGGGTTCTCCCCCAAGATGATCCTGACTCCTGGAACCACTGGACAAACAAGCATGTTGGTCCAAAAACCATTTACCTCTTGGAAGAAGCCTCTTGACCCCAGCTCAAAAGGATAAAAAAAAGGCTAACCAAGTTCAGGACCGGCTCTCCTTGTCCTAGGTTTGGCACTTCCTGGATGAGGAAGTCCAAACCCTTAAAAAAAAGGGAGCCTAAGCAGCCTAACGCTGACTTCAGAGACACGGCAAATGCTGCTCCTAGGGTCAGTTACCCCCTCTAGGAAACTCCTTATCCCAGATACAGAAATGTCCGAATTCTTTAGAACGGAGATATGTTCCGAGAGTAAGGAACTTCCCAGAACAGACTTCTGACCCCTGTTCTAAAGGGGTAGGGAAAGGGGGCAATGCAGTTGATTCTTCAAATTACATTGGTAAGTGACTATTGTTTTCTTTGATTCTAACTGTTTCTTTAACAAAAATTTCCTCTTTTCTTCCTGCTACAACCTCTTCTGCTTTAACATTCTTCTATACCTACTGCTGGAGAGTTTTATGTTCCTATACATCATAGGGTCTTCCTCCTGGGGGGGACACACACACATGCCCTACAGCCCTGACCTCCTGGGTGACACATGCCCTACAGTCCTGACCTCCTGGGGGACACACATGCCCTACAACCCTGACCTCCTGGGGGGGACACACACATGCCCTACAGTCCTGACCTCCTGGGTGACACACATGCCCTACAACAATGACATGCCAGAAGGGCTAATCTCACAAACGACAGAAATTCGATGTCTATTTTTATAATTTAATCAGTGATTGAGCTTGCCAGAAAAAAGTGAAATCGGCATCAAATACACACGCTGTTAACCTTAGTTTCACAAACTCAGAAGGGATTTCTAGACAAGGAGCCTCTATGAGTATACATTGAGATCTTGGAGATAAGGAGTTTGACATTCTTTTCAGGAGATCAATGACTTTCTTAAATAGACAACTGACAATAATCAATCTGCAAATATCAGATTCTTTGAGGTTTGGGAATCAAAATAATCTAACTTCAGTAGCAATTGGAAACTCATGGTTATCCCCAAGGACCACATCATGAGATGCCATTCGTACTGGCAGACTCGACGCTCACTTACTTGACAAGTGTTACTAACAATAAAGACAGTTGAAGTTTTCAACATCACTCACAAAGGATCTTGAATGCTTTAACTGTAATCAAACATATCTAAGTTGACTCAACACAAAGGGGCTTGCTCTCACATTCAAATTTACTTTATAGGGAGGTTGGATTCAGGAAGTCTGAGAAAATGGACGGCACCTTAAGCCAGGGAAAACTCGTTTCTTCCTAGGGATAACTTGCCAGTTATCCACATGTTTTGCAGGAGTGGAGCATAATATGAATCATCAGGTTTCAAACAGACCAGCAGTCATTGTGACCATGACATGATATTCAAGTACTGTACCATCTATCAAACAATATTGCATCTACATAAGTTTATATCTTTTGTACATTTAAAGACATTAGAAGAATGAGCACCAATCATGAAATCAGAAGTTATGATGACCTTATCAAACCCTGCCCAGAATGTTCGTGCGTCAGAAGCCAAGGTCATAAATACAGTATTTTGTTATATTTTCCGAGTAGGATTTTAGACTTCCTACACCTGACTGAATATTGTCAAAAGAGCTTATATATAGGTACTGCACAATTTAGTTGGGATACATTTTTGGCCATCACATTTTATGGTGGTACAGTATAAAAGAATCTTCGAGATATAACACAGTATATTACTACGGTGGTATTCAACACCATCGGTTGTCCAGTAACAGTTAGTAACACGGTTTAAATCTGTTATAATACCAAAGTTATTTGCTTATACCAGGGTATGCCATTGAATCAGCACATAGACAACTCCCTTATAATTATCAGATTGCAAGCATAAGTAATTTTCAGAGTTTTGATATAGTAGCAGTGGTGAATTTTTTAAGAATTTATTAACTGTGGTGGAGTAGGGCCTCGTTTGTCTACTTCACATATTACCACAGGGTTTGCAGTTCTTTCACTAATAATTTATACTGTATAAGCGTAAACCATCATTCCAAAATTCCTGACATGCAGTCTTGTCCAATATCCAGCCCCAGATAGTTCTCCTCCACACTATAATCATCAGGATAGTCTTGTCCACCATCTTGGATAATGAACCACTGCATCTGAAACACATAGGTATGATTAATATGTTTGTTTACATCTAAAATATTAATTATCATAATACAGTATGTGAATAAACCACTGTAGGTGTGCATTATACATGTAGATAACTACTGCAGGGAGAATCTATACTGTAGTTTCCATTTAATGTGATTATGAATGACTTGAACTCCATTACAATGTACTCTCCCAAAACGTATCGGCCCCCTCGGCCTGATGTACAGTATACTGTATATGGAAATGAACACAGTAGTAGCGTATGTACACCTCAGTCCTGGTTCGGTTGGTATTCCTGATTGTGAGTTACACCTATCGTTCATTCTTTTTGTACCAGATGATCACCATGATATCTGCAGTATACCACCTATTCTCTACATAATGTAATGAAAGGGGATGAATTGTGATACCATATGCAAAACCAATAACGTCACGAGTAACCTTGTTGATTTATGCACCTTAGATACTATTTCAGCCCCAGGGGATGGATTGCCAAATAGAAATATAACGTTACATGTTTTCATGAACCAAGGTTACAATGGAATCACATCGAATGAAATAAGAAACACTATGATCCGATAATACATTCATTTGCAAATACAGTAATTACAGGTGTATTATGATGCCTTATCCAATTATAATAAATTATGATTTACAACATTTTGATATTATTTCTACCTCAATTGATGAGGTAACAATTATGAATATAATGTATCATCACACGATTCATGCTGGCAACAGAACACTATCTGATACACACTATGAGACAATGTCTGTCAGTGCAAGCTGTTTTTTCCAACGAGTCTCAGGTACTAATGTTGGTCACAGATTTCAAGCAAAAAACATGCACTATTTGACTGCCGTTGATATATTTTCATTACATAAAAAACATGATATTATTCTACTAAAGATGGAGCAAGGTGATTCACCATAATTATAACAAATGCCATAAACAATAACTGGCAACCTCACAGCTACTAGGAAGGAAGCCCTACCAACATAATGCAGGAATCACAATTAGTGATCGGAAATATTCGTCCCTTGTGACACATTGTATCAATGAGAAAAGGGGCCGTTACTTTTTTTGGTAGAGTGTACACATGACGAGATTAGGTGATTAGGTAGTCTATACATAAATATTCATATCAACAAACATCACCTTATATTCAAGAATGGTAGAAAGAGTATGTAATGGAGTGAGGGAAACCTAAAACTTGAGTAGAAATGGTTGTATATAGTCTTCCTCAGTAGTACTGTTGAGTGGTGGTGGGTTGAGGGGGGTAACGCCAGATGTAGGCATTTTAGTAAGGGGGGGGGGGGGCACAGAAAAACAGCACTCCCTAAAAAAATAGCAATGTACAAGTACTAGAAAAAAATATATTCTTAAAACAGACCACCAGTGAGTAAGTATAAATTAAATTGTATTGATTTATCAAATCAGTCTCACTGAAATATTATACAAAATGAAAATGTAATTTGGGTGCAAAAGTTATCACAGAAAAATTTAAAGTCAGGGTCACAGGTTTGCTCCCTCCCAAACTGAAGCAGTATTGACCCCAAACGAGATACAACAGTTTGGGTAAGTCAGTTCAGAGACTCATTCCCGTGACTCAGTTTCACTGCGGTGAGTGAACTTTGGTCCACAACTGTATTAAACACTTACAGACCAAAGTGATAAAGGAAGTAACAAACAAGATTTACACTCCATTAAAACTCCTATTCAGTAAATCATTGGATAAAGGTATAATGTTTAAGGACTGGAAATCAACCAACATCACCCCAATATACAAGAAGGGTAGAAAAAGTACAGGAGAAAACTACAAGCTGATCAGCCTAACATCACATACAGTACAGTATATGAAAATATAAGGATTAATTATTAACAGATGTTGTGCCATCATCCAAAACACAGTCTTATTAATGCATCACAACACAGTTTCATGGAGAAAATCCTGCCTAACAAATACTCACTTTCTTTCAAAAGCTAACAGGGTACGTGGACCAAGGTCTACCAGTGGATGGGTTGTACATGTATTTTTCTAAGACGTTTGACAAGTACCACATGCACAGCTAGCTTTTAAGATCCAGGCACAAGGCATCACAGGCAATATATTGAACTGAATGTACAGTTAGCTCAAAGGGTGGTATTAAATGGGGTAAGTTCATTTTAGAAAAAGGTTATGTCCTTGGACCCACCCTATTTGTTACCTACATTAATGACATAGATGACGGTATATTACCATATTGTCAAGATTGTGGACAACAGAAAGACATTTGTGAATGCACCAAGTCAAGATGATGTCACAACCATGCAAAAACATCTGCTGGAGCTGTGCAAATGGTTGCATGATGGGCATCGGATTTATATCATTATATAATGTAAGACTCTGCATGTAGGGTACAACAACCCTAATCACAACTATGCTGTTAATAACACTTTCATGGAAACTGTTGATAAAGAAAAGATCTAGGCATTGTGATAAACCAATCACTGAAGGCGGCACAAGTGGGGGCAGCAATGAAAAAAGCTAACCAAGACTTAAGAATTAAAAGTCATCCTTCAAATATAAAGCTAAGAAAAGGCTCCTTCCACCTTTCTACGTAGATTGCATTACTAAGCGTCCCTATGCTGGCGTGACCCCCCTGCTCAGCATTATCTCGCACTGAGAGCACCCATCCTTTAAGCAGAAATGCAGAAACAGTGGACCGGTCCTATCAACCACTAAGTTCCTCCAGCTAGCCTCATGGGCTGACAAATGCATCTCTAAGGGTGCAATTTAGGTCTGGATCACTCTACCCATGTTTATAAAAATGGAAAAATCATTCCTGTTACCGACGCAACCTGTGTTGAAAGACTGCAAGGGGTTGAGATTTCTGATATTGAGTACCAGAGGGTTTACCTTTCCACTGTCAACCTGTTTCTCAGGCAGCTCTAAATGTGCCTTAGTCCAGAGAGAGAGCATTCAGCTTCAGAAGAACTTACTGGAGACACACAACTAATACACAGTAGCTCATACAGATTTAGAAATACTTTAATCCGTCACAATATATGAGAGATTCAATGAAATTAGATGGTGACATTTCTTTCTTGGTATTCAGAGTTTTCCAGCACCTAACTCAAAAGGGAGAGGTATGAAGAAAAGTCAATTTTCCAAAATAATTTTTTTACAAACAATGCCAAGGTTATTTTTACCTTTATTTATTTTTATCCTTTTACCACTTATTAGATTACTAGCCATTTGGAATGATTTGGAAGAGGGCAGCACATGTCCTTGACTGTATTAAAGTGGGTTTCCATCTCATTTAAAAGGTGACCAAGGAATGGAATGGCTAGATTTTTACTGCAGTTGCAATTTACTCTCAACAAGCTGGGAGGCCTTGGTCAACCACATACAGTACTAAAGTAATCTTTCATATCACTATGAATTTCCTTGATTTGTTCAATGGCCACCATTATCATTTTGTACACCTCAAATTAATCTAAAATGCCTGTCTGAATCTTACATGCTCAGCGTGCATCGCCAGAAATTATTCGATGGAAAGAAAACCTTCATTGAAGATGTGATTGATCATTTTGGAGTTGATAAGCATTGCTTGAAGCATTTATTTAACCACTGAAATTATGCTGCTAATGTTCTGAGCAAGTCACCATCGTGACAGACAGTCATCCCTAGATTTTCATGATTAATGATAAAAATTAATTATTTTCTTTAGTTTTTAATGCTTAAGGTCAACCCTATGATAATTTCAGTGATTAATAATTTGGTGATAAAACTGATTATACATTACTGGAAAGTAACTATTGTATAATACTTTATCATATTTTTATATGGATGTATACAAGTGTATGTACCTGTTTTGAATAAACTCGTATGTCAGGTCTTGTCTTGCTTTCTTGCATCCCCCTTGGAAAAATCCTGCGGCCGCCCGTGGCAGCAGCTGGCCTCTCTGGTATTGGTGAAGGAAGGCTACGGAAGCTTGATATCCTGCAAAATAAAGCAATGGGAATAATTTTATGAAGTCAAAAGAATGCAATCATTGAGATAATAAAAACGGAGCTAGGGTTACAGAACATTTCACACAGGGTCAATGATATTAATACAGTTGCAATAATTCGATTAATGAGATAGAATAGTAGGGGTAAATTTTTACAAGATATAAATGTTGGCTTAAAATATGAAAGAACCTTCTGGAGGCAAGGCAAGGTAGGAGAGGATACATGAAAGGCTTAATTAACATAATTAAAAATATAATATTACGTAGTACATATTAGTGTAAAAAAAATTAAACCAATTCAGAAATTCCTTCTAGTGGTCAACCTTTTCTACACCTTTACCAAAAAATAATCCTAAAGATAATGGTAAAAATTCTGGGTAATTATATAGGACTAACCCACATACTTAACATTTGTGGGTATAAAGAACAGACCTAACCAACTAAACCTACCTAACCTTACCTAACTTCCCCGGTATATCAAGCAGAAAACTTACCATGATAGGGTGAAATTTGAGGCATTTGATGGACGTGAGATGATACGGTCGCATCTGCACTATGCAGCCCTGGCGGGTTAGTCCAATATACTAACCCAAATCTGGAATACCTATTGGGATAAAAACGAATATTAACCCTAGCAATTTTTTTCAATTCACCAAATCGTCGACGGCAACGAATTATTTCTTACTACAAACACCAATATAAACTACACTAATACCAAGGCAGCATAATACAGTATATAAAATAGTGGAGTTTATCTTCACCTAAATTTCCATTTGATGACGGAATAAAACTCTCAGTAACTACAGGTACTTGTTGGGTTGACAAACTACCATGGCAGTAGTTAACCAACTCTCTAACATCACCTGTAAATTAATTATGAGAATAAAAATACCAACAATTTACTCACCACAGTGGATAGTAGCGACATATGCTTGTGTTTAAATAACTTGGCATAAAAATACTTAAAGTTTAATCGCCTCATAACAGCCAGGCGCGACACGTCCTTCCCTCACGGCTCACTCAGGCAAGTGGCTTGTTAGTGACGTCACAACTGTGTGTTATACCAAGGAAGGAATATATAGAGAAACTTGTACTATATACAATTAACGTTCATCCCTGACTGCTGCGCCATCTCTCGATTTAATTTTACCATAAATATTTAAGGTCATCATAGAAAACGTGTTGTTTAGAGAGCGAGCTTGTCCTTAGCGTAGACTCCTGTCATAAGACATATACATTTTTATTCTTAGCAGCCATTGCATAAATATACATGATTGTCTGCTTATGCATTTATATATTTATTTATTCACGAACAATGATATTCCTTAAATAAAAGAAGAGGCAATACCATGTTGTACAGTACAGGAAATAACATAAATAAGGGACTTAGGTGGTAGATAAATATAAGTTAAGAAAACATCAAATTGAAGCGGGCAGGTAGACCTAATCTTCATGATATCCACAACAAGTAGAAAGCAGTAATAAAAAGACCAAGTTTCAGTTTTCAGTCTTGAAAATATACATAATTCAGGGTAGATAAGGCCGAAATACATTACATGTTTGAACGTTCTGATAAGAATCACACACACTATAATTTCTTTAAATTTAAGACAGCATACAGCTTGCTAACACTTCCTACTACGATTGGGGAGATAACTTTAAACTTTGTGATAGTTGACAGCTGCAATCAAGCTGGGTGGACATGCCTGACGTTGTACACTCCTCCATACAAATATTTGCCGATGACGCCAAGTTATTTCGGGAAATCAAGAATCAAGCGGACTGTGAAGAGTTGCAGAAGGATCTCTGTGAGCTCCAAGAATGGTCGAAGAAATGGCTGCTGAGATTCAATGTCACGAAGTGTAAGCGGATGCACCTGGGGCGTACCAACGGTAAGGAGGCGTATCATATGTCCCAACAGGAAGAAAGGACTGCACTATTTGAGACTGAATGTGAAAAGGACCTAGGTGTGTATGTTGACAATGAGCTGAAGTTCTCTGGCCAATGCGAAAAGAAGGTAAATCAGGCAAATAAGTTATTGGGTCTTATAAGAAGGTCGTTCAGATATTTTGACGGGGGTGTCCCTCGTGACGATCTTCAGGAGTGAAGTGCTTCCCCATCTGGAGTACTCTCACCTCGTCTGGTCCCCGAGATATGCTAGGGACTGTCAATTGGTTGAAAAAGTTAAAATGAGGGCCACCAGACTGGTGCCTGCACTTCGGCACCTCAACTACCCTGAGAGATTGGAGCGCCTGAACTTGCTTAGCTTATACTACAGACGGGCAAGGGGTGACCTAATTGAGGTGTATAAGCATCTCAAGAGGCACTACTCAGTCGGGTGTCCTTACCTGGAGCTGGCGGACGCTCGCCCAACAAGGGGTCACAGCTCAAGATTGAAGAAGCCGCAAGTCCAGAAACTGTGAGGGTAAACTTTTCGGAGTGAGAGTTGTAAACTCTTGGAACAATTTGCCAGAAAGTGTTGTGACGGCACCGAGTGTGAGTTCTTTCAAGACAAGACTTGACCAACACTGGAGCAGGTTTAGGTACATTCAGGAACCGGTGCATGCCCAGTACTTGCTAACAGTGCGTAACAGAGACGTGACCGATCGCCCAAGCGGCTAACGAGCCGATCAGTGGAGAAGAGGATAAAAGTATAAAAGTATAATAATGCCAGTTGTATAACTCCCTGATCAGTCTGCCAGACACTAAATGACTATACATTACTCTTAATAAATTCCAGAACCTTGACGTTTGTGCACCAAATTATCCTCTTGAGCAGAAATATAAATGGTACATCTTATACATTCTGCGTTGTTTATGTCTTGTTTCAGTGAAGATTGTTCTATTCTCTTCAGGTTTATCTACATGCAGTACTTAGAAAAGATGAAGGAAAAGAATACATTACAGGACACTGTTGAGATAAGTACAGTAGGATTGATTGGTACAAAACATTACAAGAAAGCCCAGGTAAGCTGAACCAAAATACGAAAAGTGTACCACATCCAGGTAGGAATTTAATTGATTTTATCACTGATGTACAGTTGCCTGCACTTATACCTACGTGGTACAATGGCTACATTCTGGGTTGTAGGTTTAGATTACATTGTTTTTCAAGTTGGGATGCTAATGCATTATTGCTTGGGTCTTACTGCATATATTTCTTTCGCAACAATCTAAATGGGATGGATATACAGTATCTCTCTTTATTACAACACAAACCCCATATAATATGTATTTCTCCTTTTTCTCTCTGGTTTCACATAACTTTTCCACCCAGCTTGATTATAGCTGTCAACTATCACAAAGTTTAAAGTTATCTCCCCAATCGTAGTAGGAAGTGTTAGCAAGCTGTATGCTGTCTTAAATTTAAAGAAATCATAGTGTGTGTGTGACTCTTATCAGAACGTTCAAACATGTAATGTATTTCGGCCTTATCTACCCTGAATTATGTATATTTTCAAGACTGAAAACTGAAACTTGGTCTTTTTATTCCTACTTTTTGTGGATATCATGAAGGTTAGGTCTACCTGGTGGTGGTGGAGTATGAAGCTGGTGGTGGTGGAGTATAAAGCTGGTGGTGGTGGAGTATAAAGCTGGTGGTGGTGGAGTATAAAGCTGGTGGTGGTGGAGTATAAAGCTGGTGGTGGTGGAGTATAAAGCTGGTGGTGGTGGTATGATGAGCTGGTAGTGGTGGAGTATAAAGCTGGTGGTGGTGGGGTATAAAGCTGGTGGTGGTGGAGTATAAAGCTGGTGGTGGTGGAGTTGCTGATATATATATGTGAAATTTATATGGAATCAGTAGTAACAATATTGATAGTAAAAACGTAATAATAATAACAGAAAAAGTTACTCCTCCCACTATTATTAAACAATAACAAAACGTTATATTTAAGGTAATGTTATACACTTATATACAGGCATATTACTGTACTAAAGGGTCAATAAACACACAAGCGGATAAGCATGGGGTTATACGACTCAGTGGGTGTACTTAACTCAAAGCCAGGTGCTAATACCAGACGATAGTGCAGATAGTGAGAGAGGTTCTTGTGGGTCACCCAGAGCAAAACAGCATTAATCAGCCCGCCACAGCGTCAACCAGTCTGCCACAGCGTCAATCAGACCACCACAGCATCAATCAGGACACCACAGTGTCAGTCAACCCATCAGAGCATTAATCAGTCCACTACAACGTCAATCAACCCACCAGAGCGTCCCGCCGTGCACACCCTCGAAATAAATACTGTAACAGTACAGGTGACTAAAAACTTAATTCTGAGTTCATAAGGATTCTGTATGTTAATCATTCTCTCTAATGATTCAGTGTAATTTTTAAAGAAAAAATATTCTGTGGTAAATAGTTTTACAGTATGTACTTTCATTATAACTTACATACCAAGCGGTAAAAAAAAACTTTACAATGCTCCTATGTACTGTGTTAGTCTACTGCGAATTAAAAACACATTTCTGGTGTTTACAACTTTAGATACTGTTGTCACAAAAATAACACAATGTCGCAACTCATTTCATCATCACGGTGTTGCTTCCCTCGTCTTGCAACAAATTATTAGATATGTTGAGAGGTGATGTTGAGTTTATGATCTCTCTCCCAACAAAAAAAAGTCATTATAGATTAATTTGACATTCTGATATCATAGACGGTCCATCGGTGTTGGTGTTGTGGTGTGATGGCAGTGTTGTAGTGTGATGGCAGTGTTGTGGTGTGATGGCAGTGTTGTGGTGTGATGGCAGTGTTGTGGTGTGATGGCAGTGTTGTGGTGTGATGGCAGTGTTGTGGTGTGATGGCAGTGTTGTGGTGTGATGGCAGTGTTGTGTGTGATGGCAGTGTTGTGGTGTGATGGCAGGTTGTGGTGTGATGATGTTGTGGTGTGATGGCAGTGTGTGAAATGGCAGTGTTATGGTGTGGCAATGTGTTGTGGTGATGGCAGTTGTTGTGATGGCAGTGTTGTGGTGTGATGGCAGTGTTGTGGTGTGATGGCAGTGTTGTGGTGTGATGGCAGTGTTGTGGTGTGATGGCAGTGTTGTGGTGTGATGGCAGTGTTGTGGTGTGATGGCAGTGTTGTGGTGTGATGGCAGTGTTGTGGTGTGATGGCAGTGTTGTGGTGTGATGGCAGTGTTGTGGTGTGATGGTAGTGTTGTGGTGTGATGGCAGTGTTGTAGTGTGATGGCAGTGTTGTGGTGTGATGGTAGTGTTATGGTGTGATGGCAGTGTTGTGGTGTGATGGCAGTGTTGTGGTGTGATGGCAGTGTTGTGGTGTGATGGCAGTGTTGTGGTGTGATGGCAGTGTTGTGGTGTGATGGCAGTGTTGTGGTGTGATGGTAACCTTTGAACATGATAAACAATAGACTCAGACTGTCTCTATCCGGAGTTTAACCAGACTGAAAGGGCAGCATACATCTACCCTTGGCCTCATCCTGCGTGTGATATGCAGTAAAGATATAATTAATACATATTTAAATACATACTGACGTTTACAGAGGATATAAAGTTTTATGGGATGGTGGCAAGTCAGGAAGGCATGGTTTGGGATGGTGGCAAGTCAGGAAGGCATGGTTTGGGATGGTGGCAAGTCAGGAAGGCATGGTTTGGGATGGTGGCAAGTCAGGAAGGCATGGTTTGGGATGGTGGCATGTCAGGAAGGCATGGTTTTTGATAGAATGTAACCCAAAATACATATTAACTCTTCAACAACACTTTCCTGGCTACTGCTGATAAGGAAAAAGATCTAGGTGTCGTGAGAGGGCAATCACTGAAGGTGGTACATGAAGCTAACCTAACTTTGATTATAATAAGAAAAGACTTAATTAATCTCATACATCTCACGTACACACGATCAAAAAACTATCTGTTCGCAATAGGTCCGATGATTTCCTAAATGATCAATACACCGATGCTGCAAAGTAACCACTAACATGAATCACGCTGCACATTGTTCATTAGATTAATCTATTTTATTCTGAATGTGCATATAATAACAATACTTACTATGGATAAAACAGGAGATGTCACTAGCAATCAATATACAGTACGGGATTTTTCAATTCCCATCGTCCGTGGTGTCAGATTGTTCCAACCGAAATGTGCATAAATATTTTCTGATCGTGTGTACTTTTCCACGTGAACTATTGTATAATGTCATGGAGACAACACCTTCAGAAGGACATAACATCATAGTAAATGTACGGTACAACAAAGAGCGACAAGTCCTATTTCTGAAGTATCCAGTACGTCTGTAGGGTATGAGATATTGGTTCACACTCAGGATGGGATGGAGAAAGGAAACTCACAATGTGCTCTCTGTATACATATTGTATTGGATGTACAATGTAGCTTGTTGCTGGGTAGGTAGCATGGTAATAAGCGTTGAGTAGAGAGAGCTGGGTGGTGAGGGTGCCCAGAGTGAGGGCACGCGGCTTGAGGGACTCCAAGGTCGCTAGCGGGAGCGGCAGCCGCACGGCCGGCGCGGAGGAGGAGGTGTTGCTTGCTGGTGGCACTGGGTAGAAAGAGGGTGGTCACAGCGGTGTCAGACCTTATAAGGCGGGGGTAGGCGTGGGTAGATAGTTGAACCCCGCTCCGTGGGCGGCGCTGGAGGCGTAGGCTGGGGAATTCGAAAAGGTTCGGTGCTTGTAGGGGAGGAATCCACTACACGTCATCCTTATTATCCAAGTAGACTGCATTGAGGATCGT